AGTCCAGCTGAAGAGGATTGCAGAGAACAGGATGAAGTGGAGGTATCTACTGAATCCGTATATTCCCGTCAGAACCCAAGGGAATATTTACAAAAATGAATACATGCAAGTTAACAGAACTTAATTCGTACTGGAAATCCATTTTCCGGTTAACCACCATCAGGAACTAGTTCAAATGATGTTAATGCTATGTATACGATAGGGACGTCATGACCGTTGATGCTCTTTGTGTCAAAGTGAAGCGTATGCTCATAGGAGGCAGTGGTGAGAGCAGCCCTATATCCCAAGTTTACAAAGTAAGAATTGTTGGGTCATTGAACTCCAGCGCAAGTGGTTGAATGTTTAATGAGCTTGACCTCGTAATCTGATTGTCCCAGGTTCGATCCCTAGTAGAGTTATGAGTTCGCATTGATAAGGAGTCCCAAAACTGGGTGAAACAGCTGTCCAGTTCTCTATGGTTTCCAATGATCTCTCTCCAAATGATGCTTGTTTGTGACAAAATTCTAACATTTGAAATTATATCATTGTGTTTATAAAGATATGAGGGAATTCAAGGTTGTAATCAATTAAAATAAGTCCTTCTTGTACCGTTTATACTGACTGTTTTGTTTTGTTTTTCTACGCACTGAATTTTTCTTGAGATATACAAACAGTTAGAGAACCATTGAAAACTAGCACTGGCCGATTGGGAATCATCGGCAGTACGCACCCACCACCAAGGTTCGAACCCAAGACCTTCCGGTTACAAGGCAAGCTCGTACACCATTCAGCCACTGGGACCCGATTCAATGGCCATCCTATGAATTCTAACTTCTACCAATTCGTGATTTAGCGCGACCACCAACCAATGTCGCTGGTGGGACATCCATCCTCACACTTGACTGGATGGACCTCACTGGTCACGACTTCTCACTAGAACTCCAGGAGACTCCGTCCTGTAACAAGTCACTAGCGAGCATCAGATTAATTAACCGGAAGATCCTGGAGTCGAACCGGCTGTGGTGGGTGCGTACTGCCGATGATTTCCAAACTAGGATGAAACAGCTGTGCAGTACTCCCTGGTTTTCAGTGGTTCTCTAACTGATATCAATCCGTGATCAAATCGTAAAAACAAATCTAATCCTTACAAACCAACTCTTGAGAATATACAAACAAAAAAATAAACAAACTCGAAAGCTTATCTAACTGACTTAACTTCATAAATTCGATGTGTTGATTATGATCGATTTGTAACAATTAGATTTATAGTTTCACTTTAAAAATGACTATGTTTCACAGAACAAAACACCTTGAATGTATTTTGACCTATAAAGGTGGAAATTAGGGCGAATATTTACTTCTGTTTTTTCGTTTTTTTTTTCATTTTAATGTAAAGCATTTAGGAAAACTCCCAGTTACCTAAATGTGGTCGATTGTTTTAATAAACTTAATGAGAAATTTTATGAGTACATGCATCATATCTGTTTGATTTATTTTTGTAACTCATTACGAAAAAAAGTCAAAAGTACAGATGAGATATTTTTATTCTAAGGAGCAAACAGCAACATGTGATCATCTCATTAGTTGATCAACTTAATTTTTCGTTGATCAGTGACAGTGAAACCATCAGAGTGATACAATTAACAAAGCATACATTTCCATATAATATAATCATAGAAGTACACTATATGCAATGGAATAATTGTGTTTGCAAAATCCCTCTTGTACGAAAAGATCACAATATTTATACTCATTTACACTTTTCAACTGACAGTGTAATTAGTTGGAGGATTTTATCATGAGCTGACATCGCTTAGAGAACCATTGGAAAACCACCACGGAGTACTGGAGAGCTGTTTCGTCAGCCTATTTTGGGACTCTTCACCAGCATACACTCACTATCAGGCTTTGAACCCATGACCTTCTGGTGACAAGGCGAGCTAGCTCGTAGAACATAAAGCCACTGGGACCCGACCCACTGGCCAGTTCATGAATTCTAACTTCTGACAGTTGATGACATAGCGTGACCACTTCACAATGTCTTCTTCGATGAGCAGTTGTCCTCACCTTTAACTTGCTATACCCTACTGGTCACGGCTTCCCACTATAACCCCAGGTCTCTGCCTGAATAGGGCCACTCCCCAGTGAGCATCAGATCAATTTTTCAAGTATTGGTTTTTGTAGGGATGCTCACTAGCGACTGGCCGTATTCAGGCAGTGGCCTGAGGTTACAGTGGGAAGCCGTGATCTGTAGGGTACAGAAGGTTGAATGTGAGGCAGTAACTCATCGAAGAAGACATTGCGAAGTGGTCGGGCTATGTCATGAATTGTCAGGAGTTATAATTCATGGAATAGCCATTGGATCGGCTCCCAGTGGCTTAGTGATCTACGAGCAAGCTCACCTTGTAACCAGAAGGTTCTGGTCTCGAACCTCAGTGGGTACGTACTGCTAAAGAATTCAAAGCTAGGCTGACGAAACAGCTGTCTGGCAGTACTCCCAGTTGGTTTTCCAGTAGTTCTGTAACCGATGTCAGTTCATGATGAAACCTTGAAATCAATTGTTTCTCTTTCCTTATATTTAACGAGACATAAATACGGAAGTAACCACCCACCTACCCCGAATTCCTAATTTTACTTGAATCTTAGGTGGTAAGCAATACGCATTTTACTTACGCAGTTAAAACTACCGACTTACGGTTTGAAAATTCCTTTATAAATAATGATAATAATATTAGTAGTAACTTTTTAATTGACGTCGGTGATTGTAACAATTTATTCTTGACTAGTCATCAGATGTAATCTCTTTATGTTATCTAAAATTTAACCGCAACTCTAAGCTAGATAAATCCTGAATTGCCAAATATTTCACAATGTCAAGATAACTTGATCTCATTGGCAGTAATCATAGTAATAAATAATATTTGTAGTTAAATACAGACTCATATAGATATGTCCATCCTCAAACAGATGAACACTGCTTGTTCAAATAGGAGAAAACACCAAATAGAATGAATATTTTGAAGAGTTAGATTGTAGGGATTTGATTTGTTTCAAGTTTTATCACGGATTTATATCAGTTAGAGAACCATTGAAAACCATCAAGGAATACTGGACAGCTCTCTAGACCTAGTTTGAGACTCTTTGGTGGTACGCTGAGGACTGGCTACAGGATAAAGTTACCTGGAGTTCTGTTGAGAGGTTGTTACCAGTGGAGTCTACCAGTTCGGGCCTGTGGACAAATAATCGCTGATGATGTTGATAAAGCAAATACTTCAGTGAAGACGCTGCTTTCGGTGAATCCACTTCTATCTTCAGTTGTACAATTGCATTTAAATACAGTTATTTCTTTCACGAAATGGGTAATTACAATGGAGATAAGTTGTCATTATCGTATTTGGCACTATTAATCAATACATGAGAGAATTTGAATAAAGATGTTAGAGTGATAAGGAATATATCAGAACATAAGAATTTAGCTAAGGTAAGAATGGTTGACCCCGAGAAGATAAGTAATTTAGAAAGAAGCTCAGCAATCGCACTGCATGCATTAACAAACAACCACACAATGTGGTAGGAGAAGGTTAAAATTGTAAGAAGTAATATAGGTAGGTGGGGAGAGAGAGAGGTTGATTACTGAATCCTTGTTCATCGATCGAGTCTACACCCAACACACGCAATAGGAATGATTCATCACTCACACCGGAAATATGGGAAATACTACTTCAAAATCAAGTCAAAAGATGAGAAATAGTGGAATTATATAAACGAAGTTGGAAAGTTGTGTGTGAGTACCTTGATATAATTGTGAGTAGCAATAAATTGTGCTCGAAATGTCGTCATCAGTAAATATTACTGTATAACACTGTGAGACGTAATCAAAATAAATTTTACCCACATTGGAATTATACTCTACCACAGTGCACAAGTTCTATTCTTATATCAATATATCAGTTCACTTGTTCCTGTGTTGTCAGGTATATAGATCGTTTACCGCGTATTTTGTCTAAAGGGCCCCGAGAATTCTACTCCGTATGGTTTCAGGGAGGTAAGAGTGACTCCATTCTTTCCGTCTTAATAAACTTCTGCTTAAAAGTAGTCTACAGAGTGAAGAGAGTTGCTGAAACCGTAGTCATTCGAACAGAGAAACCAGACCTATGCATATGCAAGAATATTCTTCAACCCATTCCACCATCATGGTAGTGAATCTGTTCTTTCCAACCAATTTCTTGTCTTTTGTTTGTGTTAACTCTTTCTTGTTCTTCTATCCCTTGGAATTCTTACGTAATATCATGTTTCTCCTTCTTTCCTACATATACAGCCTGATTACAACTCATCGATTGAATTATTTATCTCATTACGTAACTCCAACATCATTACTCAACTCCTCTCATGTAATATTGAGAACTACGGTTATGACAACTCATCTCTATTGCTATTATCCTTCTTTGTGGAATAAAACTGTATAAAAATACTTTTGTACAGCTAAAGGAAATGAATCCGCTGAAAAGATCCTTTACGATGAACTACTTGCTTTAATTTTCATTAATGCCTGGACGGGGACTATTCATGATAGAACAAGTATTATTATATTCCACACTCCAGTTTTCACTAGTAGACTGAGTGAAGAAAATGTAATGTTATGAGAATGCTTCCAGTCTGATGATGGACTGATGTCAGATAGATCACTGAAAACCAGGAAGTACTGGACAGATGTTTCGTCCTAGTTTGGGATTCTTCATCAACACACGCCCACCGAGGTTCGAACTCAGGACCTTCAGCTAACAAGGCGAGCCCGTAGAACATTTAGCCATTGCAGGTCGATCTAATGGCCCATCAATTTCAACTTCTTCTGTCTAATAATTCATGCTGGTTTCCTAGTGGTTCTCTAACAGATATCGATCCGTGATCAAACTTGAGACAAATCAGATCGCTAAAAAATTAACTCTTGAAAATTTTATAAAATTACTTTCAATTTAAAAAAAAAGGAATTCATCAAAAATAAAACTGGGGAGAAGACTAACCTTCTTGGCCTTTGTTCCATTTCATTCAGCAATGAATTGTCAATAAATTGAAAGACCAAGTTTAGCCGTTTCTTTTTACGAAATACTTCTATCAAATTAACCAAGTTTGGATGTTTTAAACGCTAAAAGTTAATTGGACAAAATTAGAAATTTGCATAAAATAAAGTACTTGGACTGGTCAATATACACATTTTCACAGCTTTCTACCTCTACAGTATAAAAGAAATTCGGTGAAGACCCTCGGCTATAGGGTCAGAGCTATTTATTCGGAAGATGCTATTGAAGACGGACAAAAAGTTGTACACGACAAGTTAATTGAAAATAGCTACCCTGAAAAGTTCATCACTAAACACACGGTCCACAGAGTAGAAAAGAATTCTTCTGTATCTGTTAATAAGAAGCCTCTATATATACGATTACAATTCAGAGGTGATGTACCGAGTGAAATAATAACCAACAGGTTGAGAAAATCTATTCAAAGAACATTTAATACCGGTAAGCTGCAGCTTGTATTTTCCACACAACCAACTGTGATTCCGAAACCGGAGGACGAGTACCTGGGTCAGCCACCTCTGATTGTATCTGTCGATTCAACTGCTCATGTGAAGCCATTCATATTGGCCGTTACTCTAGGAACTTAGTATTTCGTGCTCCGAAACACCTACCTCACAATGTGCCCAATCTGAGGTGCTGCTAAAACCATTATCAGTTCGACATAAGAACACTTCATGCAAACAGACCATTAAAATAACATTGAGGGATCTTCTGCTACCAATGGTCAGGTGCTTAATAAACTACAAAATACTCTAGGTGGTGAATGCTTCAAACACCAGAGGCTATTACATTTCGCTTAAAAAAACTGGATATCTGTGTGCAAAACAAAGGTTTAGCCACTACTGATAACCCTTACCTGCTATCGAACCCAATTCATCAATTCTGGGTTACTTCCTTTAATTTATCTGATATTCATTTTAGTGTTATATCAATGCATATAATTGCTTAGAGATGACTTTGAATTGTAATCTATCGGTATTATCGATTCAATGTAATTCAAAGCATTAGTGCTGTAAATAACAGTAATTCTTTAATTATTATGGTCATGTAGTTTTAGAACCTGATGACAAAATTATCAATAATCAAACATTTTAAGATAATTTATAACATATTTGGTGAAAATTATAAACAACTTAAGTCACTGTTCGTATCTGATTAAATCACAGGACTTAGCTACCTAAAATTGTATAAAGGTTCTTTCTAGAAAGTTTTACTTTCTGTAAGAACCTGAAGGAATCCTTTTAAACTTGTTTATATAACGAAATAAATATGGATTCGTTCAGGAAGAAGTAGCTGGAGGCCTACTTAAAACTTGGGCTACCAAAAACCTTCATTTCTATATTGCATATAAATTCTTCTCTTCGATTTGTTTTATTTAATCAGAATATGACCTTTAGTAGTTTTATATGCTCTTGCGAGTATTTAAAGTGTGCACAACCTACTGATTTGCTAGTTTCTACTTAATTTTAGAAAAAATATAATCGTGGTGAGTAGTGTATCCCAGCATGTGAGATAACTGTTCCTGAGTTATGTTCTTGGGTGTCAAAACATGCTGCTGAACTTTTTACAACTATCCTTCAACTATATGTTGTGCATTTCTCGAAGGTGTCAAAGAAGAAATATCATAAGGGATTGGTTTGCGCTTCAGGTCAGATATCATTGTATGACAGGATCTACTGTCAGTTAATATTTCATCAGGAAATTCTATACAAAGAGAACAATAAACTCTGCTGAAGATTCCGCACATTATATAATCACTATCCAGAATATAGCTACCATTATTATTAAGTTAGTTTAAGTTTGTGAAACATAAAATAAAAGAATAAGACTGCAGATATATACGTTAAACATCTGCCTGATTAACGTTTATTTCCATGTGGCCAAACTGTAAAATTTGCATAAGTTTTCAAAATGAAGTGTTTCTTTAAACAGTGAACGACAGTGACAGTAGTGTGTTACCGCTTAATATAATTTCGAGGCGTTTTCGAAATATCAAGGCAATACATTTGTTTTCCGGGACAAAAGAATTACTTGTAAGATATGTAAGATTGTTAAGTAGGAAGTGAATGGCAGCATTAGTGCATTAATTGTATAACATTTCTTTTTAACCTCACAAAGTCATACACAAGACCTACGCATAATTTTCAGTTTTGTCACTGGTGTACTGGAGTGGACATGTTTAAACATTGGCGGCCTGCTTAAAAACGTGAGCTACCAAAAGCTTCCACCTCTCCATCGCACATATTTTCTCCCGTTCGGTTTGTTTTAATCGATGAAGAAATCACCTCTAATGGTATTATCTACTTTTATGTGCATTGAAAATGTTTGCAAGCTTCTATTTCGCAAGTTTCTACTAAACTTGAGGAATAGCGGGATTGTGGGTGGCAACGTATCTTGATACATGAGATAACTGTTCTTCAGTCATATCCTTGGGTCTCAAAATATACTCCTGAATATCTTACAGTTGGTTTTCAACCAGATATCGTGGATTTATTGAAGGAGACAAAACAGATGTATATCATGCTGGAATAGTTTATGCTTCACTTCAGAGACTACTGTGTGTCACGGGATATACTGTCAGTTTTAATATTTTACTTGAAGATATTGTGCGAAGGGAAAATATCATTCAATAAACTCCTCTGAAAATTCTCTGCATTTTATAAATACTGTCCAGAATAAAGATATTATGATTATTATAAACACTTTTACATAGATAAGATTATGCTAGATATTTAAACTGGGTGGAACACTACTGACTTCCACAGACAAAGTTGTTTATTACAATTTTCCATATCTCTGGTATGAGCAACGCTTAGTTTCGATTGCATCTGTGTTTGGTGTTGATTCGATGGACAGTGATTCAATGTTTAACCTCTTTCTCCACCTAACTATATTGCTTTTCAATGCCTTCACCCGTCACAACCTGTAGTGTAATTACATCCAGGTGAATGCATTTCAGTGACCGAACTTTTTACTGGATTATTTAACTTAGCAGGCTGGGTCATTCCATCCCTGGTTAAATTCCTACATCGCGATAACCTAAATGACCATGAAGTAATAGTTTGACCTTTGTAATTGACCTCACCGTCAACGACTGCATGGTATTCGGTAAATTATATTATTTCTATTAATTGGATCTATCGTGTCCATAAGTTGACAAAGTTTATATCTGAGTTAGAGTTAGCTGGTTGGTTGTTTTAAATGCCAACCTAATTCCTGCCTCATTAGGAATTCAGCGTAGGACTTCTAATATTGATATAAGAATAGAACTTGGGCACTGTGGTAGAGTGTAATTCCATTATGGGTAAATTTTTATTTTGATAGAGTCTCAAAGTGTTATACAGTAATATTTACTGATGACCACGTTTCGAGCACAATTTATTGCTCATAATCATAATCAACTTGATATGATTATGAGCAATAAATTGTGCTCGAAACGTCATCAGTAAATATTACTGTATAACACTTTGAGACTCTATCAAAATAAAATTTACCCATAATGGAACTTCTAATATTCCTTTTTTCTATAGTAGTGCTACAGTGATTTTGAATTCCACAATAATCATGTTATTTCCACCATTTTTACTACTACTGTTATTTTTCTTATGGCTATTCATATATTTTTGAATAAATTCTGAAGGGTAGTTATTCACTAGTAGTGTTTTCTTTATTTGTTTGATTTCATTATTTAAATCTTCTGATTTACTTACTAGTTAGGCCCCTGATACGATTATATAGACGTTAAACTAAAGCTACCTTTACGGATTTTGGGTGTGACGAATTAAAATCTAAGTATTGATTAGAATGTGTCAGTTATGCTATTGATTGATTTTTAAAATAAATATTCCAAAGAAGTGACAGCCTATAAAATGTGTAACCCTTATAAATGTACCTGAAGTGGTCGAAAAACTCTCATTGTCGACTGGTTTTAAGTAATTGTTTAACTAAAGACGAGTGTGATAAAATAGGCATTTGATGAATTCTTTAGAATGATAAACCTAACGTGATTTGCACATTTTCCAGGAGATTCTCTTTATTTTGATTGGACACTAGTAACTAGTGCGATGTGTCTAGTCCAATCTTTGGTGCAGACTGAATTCTATCAGTCAAGTTTGCAATGTGGCCACCATTCTAGGTAGCTCGACATCACGGTGCACATTGATTTGATGATATTAGATGGTTGGAGGCAGTCGGCAAGAAGCCCAGCCTTGGACCTGGGTTTCGTGCTAGTTGGCACTCACCAGTCAGTCAGCAAGGCGTATCTGCAACCTCGAAGGAACTCATGTCCTTTCTGACGTTCGAAACCGCGTCACCCAGTGAGTACTGAAGTCAAAGAAGTTACCACTGAGCTATTCTCTTTATCACAGAGAGTGTTGTCAAACGTAAAGTCGATTTGTTATATTAAAAACCTCTTACACGTTATGTTTTACATTACCGATATTTAAATGTTAAAAACTGACCGGCGAAAAACATATTTCTATTCATCAAAAGTTTGACTATATGAGCTCTGAGGTGTAATATTTCTAGATGTCAGTTAGAGAACCATTGGAAAACCTGCATGGATTGCTGGACAGCTATTTCGTCCTAGTTTGGGACTCTTCACAGTACGCATCCACTGACAGGGTTCGAACCCAGGACCTTCTCGTTACAAGTTCCTCCAACCAGTCAAACAAAATCGCTACAAAACCAGTACTTGAAAATTGATCTGATGCTCACTAGAGCACTAGTGCTAGAAACCGACATATTTTACTTAGTGCTCGGTAGTAAAACAACAAAAAGTCCTCGAATTCCATTTATTACCGAGTCACTATACAGGAGGTATAGATGCAAACAATATTTCCGACCAGAAAAAAGGAATTAATATACACTGCAAGCAGTTTCATTGACTATATACAATAGAATAATAACGGGTTCAGAAAATCAATGAGTGATCTTGGAAAAACATTCCACCTACTATTCTATATCCTTTGCTAAAATTGACCTCTAATTGTCTAAAATCATCTTGTTTCCCGTCTATTTCGAAAATCATTTTTCTATGAGTAACTCACCTTTAACATTCGAATCTCTCTCATTGCAATTTTTCGAATAACTGGATCATCTTCTGATGCGGTGAATTGTTTAATAGCGACTAACTGTCCAGACTTTATATCACGACACTTGAATACAACTCCATAGGCTCCTTCGCCGATTTTGCATATTTTTTCATATTTTTTAAATAATAAATCATCGTATTTTCTAAGGGAAGAAAGAAAATGAGTATTATTCATAAATGACTGTACAAATTGCCCTTCTATAGGAGATATGTAGATGACATCATTTTGATATGTGTCATGAAGACGCAAGTGGCCTATTAGATAGACTTAACTCTGTACAGAATCATATAAGTCTAACATGCGAGGAAGAAAGTCGCAACCAGCTTATATTTTAAGATATACTTCTGAGTCGAAGAGATGATGGTTCAATAAGACGATCAATCTACAGAAAGCCTACTTGGACAGGGCAATACCTTAATTTTCACAGCTTCTGTCCATTACAGTATAAGAGAGGCTTGGTGAAATGTTTATTTAAGAGGATTCAACGTATTTGCATGGCTGATTTTATAAAGAAAGAAAATGAAATATTGATGGATACTCTTGTTGAAAACGGATATCCCTTAAAATTTTTAAACGGGTGTAGAAGTCAATTAGTCTCTAAACCTACAATCCATACCGCCCCTAAGAAAAATGTTTTCATCAAATTACCATATAATGGTGAAATAAACAGTAGGATTTTGAGACAAAGGTTAAATTTGGTCATCCGTAGGACCTATTATGCAGCCCGGCTTGTAATTATCGAAAAAGCCAAAAATACGCTCCACTGCAAACCTCCAAAGTGCACAAGAGATTATGTCACATCCCACACTATTTACCAATTTGTGTGTATGTGCGTGTGTGTAGACACACGTACATATGGAGAAGTAATCGTGCTTTGCATGTGAGGGTGGGAGAGCATATCCCGAAATGGTTAGAAAGACAAATGTTTAGTGGAAAATCAATAGACGCAGGTGGCAGACTACCAATTTCGTCTATAGCAAAACATTTAATCAGGATAACCATAAGATAACTATAAAATTTATCAAATAAAGTATAATTATATTTCAATGGTCTACACACAATGATAAGTTTTGTTATTGGCCATGGGATTGCCAATAATAGCTGACATATTCGTGGATTATTGGGAAGAGAATGCCCTTAAACCGTTCAGGTCATCACTAAAATGTTGGTGGAGATATGTAGACGATACACTAGTAATAGTGAAAAAAAACGATATTTTGAGAAACTCTTCTCACACATAAACAGCTATGTCGACTCAATAAAATTCACTATGGAAATAGAGAATGAAATCTGGGAACTGCCTATGTTAGACTGTAAAATACAAAGAATAACAGATGGTAGCATAAAAACAACGCTGTATAGAAAAACCACACACTCTAGAAGATTCCTTGATTATCACTCAGCTCATCCACTCGCAGTAAAACGAGGATTAATACAAGGTCTTGAAGATCGAATTCGTAGACTTACAACAACGCCAGAGGACTAGTGTAAAGAAATAAACGTCCTATTCAAAATGCTACTCGAAAACAACTACCCAAAAGAATTTATAAAAGATAAGAGAAAGAAGAGAAAAAGAAGGTAAAACCGGAGAATAACAAGATGGAAGAATGCAAAAAGACAGTCACGATACCATATAAAAATGGCACATCAGAGGCAATTCAAAGAAACCTCAAAAATATCGGCATTCACACAACTTTCAAACCGACAAATCTAATTAAAAATAAAATAAATCAACTGAAAGATCCCATAAAAATGATGGATAAAAACAACTTGATATACAAAATATCTTGTGCTGACTGTCCAACTAAATATGTGAGGCAAACGTCCAGATCACTCAAAATAAGAGTGAATGAACATAAACGCCTAACCAAAGGTCAACCAACAGGAACACAAGCCTACAAAAATCTTGAAAAAAATTCATCGATAGCTGCACATGCATGGGACAAAAACCACAATATCGATTGGGACAATGTGAGTATTCTAAAAACTAACATGAACAAATGGAAAGAAAGACTTATAACAGAATCGATATTCATTAAAGTCACACCGGATACATGTAACAAGGGTGACTCAGTACAACTGTCAACAACTTGGAATATAATTCTGAATACAAACACATGAATGAACGTGGAATCTAACTCGAATACGAAAAAAACAAAACATGAATGAGCAACAATAATGAACTATTTATATGAGTACAAATCATAAATGTGTGAATCAAACAATTCCAACAGTGGTGTGAACACGGGCAGTAATTTTGCTCGAAATATTACCAATAACAAAACTTATCATTGTGTGTAAACTATTGAAATATAATTATATTTTATTTGATCTAATCCACAATGCTCAAACTTTTTACTGATAAAAGACTGATGTTAACACGGACTTTAAGGTTATCTATAAAAAGGGTCAAGGGCGCCTATTGAAATACGCTGAGGCTATAGCTATTCATAAATTTAAGCCCCACCAACCCCCCCCCCCTCTGTGTGTTCAAAAACAGTTTATTATTACTCTTAACCTGCCTTGGTAATCCTTAACTGATTGGATACCAAACTTCGTGTTAATCATTCTTAAATCCTTTTTTGTCACTTTGTTTGATTTAACTGCCCTTAATTTTCAGACTTGACAAGTAAATGTGTGAGGGACCAGATTGTTCGAAATGTATAGCGCAAATACATCACACATTTTTCAAATAACCTCCGTCTTCTAATAACACTATCCAAAGTAGTTATGTTAAATAATCAAAAGTGAACTAGATTTTGCTTCTCAATCAGAAGTATTATTGTTACTACTGTTATTAGTAGTATTTATAAAGCAGTAAGTTTACAAAACAGTAGTATTATTTAATGTCAGTAAAAAGTTTTGGCATTGTGGAATAAATCAAATAAATTATAGGTATTTTGATTGGACACTAGTTAGTAATTAGTGTAGTGTGTCTAGTCCTTTGTTTACTGTGGGATTAATTCTGTCAGTCAAGTTTGCAATGTGGCCATCGTAATGGGTGGCTCGCCATCGCAGTACACTTAGGATTGTTGTTATTAGATGGTTGGAGGCAGTAGGAAGGAAGCTAGCTGGGAAACATCAGTCAGCGACGCGTATCTGCAACCTTGAAGGAACTCATGTTCAAACCTGCGTCGTTTATTGCCGCAGTCACAGACATTACCACTGAACTATTCGGGCTCGCGACTGACCTCCTAAAGGACTGTATTGGATACAATTCAAAGTGCACCGTGATGGCGAGCCACCTAGAATGGTGGCCACATTGCAAACTTGACTGATAGAATTCAGCCTGCACCAAACGAAGTACGAGACACACGACATTAGTTACTACCCCGTTTTGAATCAAAGTATCTCTTACAGTCCTACGGGAGGTCAATTGCGAGCCCCTGTCGCTCATGAGTAACGTATCTGACTAAATGATTGGGTGACCACGGTTCGTGATTGTAGACACTCCTTGCTGACTAGTGAGTGCCAACTAGCACAAAACCTGGATCAGGCTGGGCTTCCTTCCGATTGCTTCCAACCATCTAATGTTAACAAATTATAATTATATCTCATTGGTTTACACACAATGATAAATATTTTGTTTTCGGTAATATTTCGAGTAAAATTACTGTCCGGGATCACACCTACAGTTGGAATTGTTTTGTTTTTAATTCACACTTTTATGATATGTATTCATATAGTTCATTTTTTTGTTCATTCATTTTTGTGTATCCAGAATTATATTTCAGGTTGTTAACAGTTGTGCTCAGTCACGCTTGTTACATATATCCGGCATGACCTTAATGGATATAGATTCTGTTATTAGTCTATCTGTCTTTCTATTCGTTCATATTAGGTTTCAGAATGCAAATGTTGCCCCAGTCAGTGTTGTGGATTTCGTCCCATACATGTGCAGCTATAGATTTGGTAGTATGATTTACTTAAATCTTATGAGGTTGTATTATTATTTATTATCATTCCCTTGAGTTCCGTGTGGAACATAGGGCTTCAAAAACACATCTCCACTTTGTTCTGTTTTCCGCCGTCCTCTTCAGCTGGGTCCACGATAGCCCATGAGATCGTACTCAGCACTGTTGACTCAAAAACTCTCGTTTAAGGAATAAAAAATTTTAGGGAGAGCACACGGTAGCTATTTTAGGCCTGGTTTTTAAAAATGTACAGTGCGATTAATAGATATTATTATATAACTAAACGATTGCCATAAGTCACAGTTCAGATCAATGAAAATGATATAACTAAGCATACATGAACCCAAGTAACTAACTACACAGGAGTTTGAGGTTCAATTTCCTATTGAGGCAATCCAAAAACCGCCTAGTTTTTACTAGACAATAGTAAGCTCGGAGAAGAGAGAAGGTGGGACATGAGGCTAGAAACTCCAACCTGTAAAATTAAGTCCACTGCTGCTGAAACTTGAAAATTTGGAGTTCAGTGTTACACTCATAATGCAAGAAAAAAACAACAAAGAATTTCATGGTTCCGATACAATTTCTTAGCCTAACTACGTTGTAAGCTTTGAAATTAATCCACATATCTGTATTTCTTCGACAGTTTGTGACAGTTGATATTATACAACCAATCACGTAAACAGGAATGCAATACAGTCTGTTCTGTTAAAAGCCTTTTATCAGATACTAGTAGAATGATCATATTTTCACATTATTTAAGCAGATAAATAGAGAAACTAGCAAGGTTAACGCAGCTGATTACCGATAAGTGAATGTGTGAGATCTTATTAAAGTAATTCACCTCTGTTCTTCAAAAATGGAAGAGAAAAATAAACAATTAGTAAGATTACAGTCAGGTCCCTACACAACAGTATACAGAATGCATACGTTGAAGCGTCTCCATATAATTAGAGTCTGTAAAAGACACGAGAGCATTTCAACATGGTATCCTTCTTCAATATATGGTATATACTTAGGTGTTAAACTACAAATTCATCAAAATTCATATGCAGAGGAAGACCCCTTAACAATGGTTTCATGAGAGATTAGAGTAAAAAACTTAAAAACCAAAATCAATTACTTTGACAATCACTGAAAATACCCATTTAGTTAGGAAGAAAATAAAAGAAGACAATTCAGCGAAGAAAATTCTCTTTATCGACGAAATCATCTTCAGAAACTGTACTGTAGTATTTATATTTACCAGAAATGTATAGTAGTCCACTAATGAGTAATAAGCTATGAATTGCGTAATGCTCAACAGCACGAAGGAAGAAAGCCTTGGAAATTTGATAAGGTTAAAATCGCTTTTAAATGAGTAGAGAGCTGGTTGAGTCCCCATTTAATGGGTGTGAAAAGGGTGAGCAAACGTACAAAAGGAACATGTGAGAGTGATTACAGTGAATTAATTACTAATAAAAGTAAAAGCAAACTAATAGTTTAGAATAAAAATAGGGAGCGACTAATGAAGAGGATTAGACCATAGTAGAATAAGAGCCTGGACAAACTTTTTCTGTATACAGAGTTCGGCGTTGTGTTGACGAACCACCAACGCGGCAGGTTTCGGCAGTCGTGTATGGCGGAGGTGTTAGCAGTTCGCCAATACAGCGCCGAACTATGTATGCAGAAAAAGTTTGTCCAGTCTCTTATTTAACCATCGTCTTAACCTCTTCACCAGTCATTCCCTGTAATTTTTTTATTTTTTGATAATTAGTTTGCTTTTGTTTTTAATAATAATAATAATTTAACTATTATCACTGTCACATATTCCTTTTGTACACTTTCGCATCTTCACACTTGTTAAATGGACACTCGACTACCTTTCTTCTCACCTTATTAGATTTCTAACGCTTTCTTCCTTCGTGCTGTTGAGTATTACACAATTCCTAACTTTATTTTTACTTTTGAAGCCAATTCTAAGTGACTATATCAATTATGTCACCCCCTATTACTCAATAATAGACTACTATACATTTTTGGTAAATATAAATACAACTGTACAGCCTCTGAAGATGATTTTGTCGATAATGACAATTTTCTTCGCTGAATTGTCGTTTCCTCTAACAATGTTGTCTTGAGTGAAGGCATAGAAATGAATAATAATGAGGTAACTTTTAACCTTTTTCGATGACACGAAGTGTAAATCGCCATTTCACTTTGTGATTTAACACATGAAACAACTAACATGAAGTGTGTCATGTAGTAGAATTACCAGTAATTATGAACACTACCGTATGTTTTCAAATTGACACATTGAACCGATTGAAGCTATACACTGCTCTTACTGTCTCAGACCGTGTTGTCTATGCACTTAAAGAAAACGTTATGTCATATTCTAAATAAGAATATTTAACATCTATGAATAAGGTTTAAATCTTCAAAAAAGGTAATACAACGTCATTTTAGTAATAAAATGAAGGACCTAGGAGAAAAGCTCATTGGTAACACCTCGTACTGCAGCACTACAGACAGCATAGGTCCAAATCTCTCAGAGGACACTGGCACCGCATAAATTGCAGACAGGTTTTGTTTAAGTGTCTTGGTCTTCCATCTAAATGCCTGAAAATTCAAAAAATTTTCATTTTGAAGGAGACTCCAGTTCTTGTTGTTTATTTAGTCAACTGTTTTCAAATTTTGGCGGCTTCTTTGAATCACTGAGCTACCTGAATTTTCATCCAACAAAATGAATCACATTTTCTTAATTTTTGTTGTTTTAATCATTAAGTTATGTCTTGGGGTCGCAAAATATACTTACGCACATTTGTTATTGACTTTCAAACCATCGGTGAGCATTTCTCAGAGACAAAGAAAAACTATTATAGGGATCGAACAGTACTGCATCGTATGATACACTACAAATTGCTGTTTTACCTGAAGATCTTGGACGAAGAGGAAATATTGAGCAATAAATTGCACTGAGAAATCTGTACACTGTGTAAGCACACTGTCCAGCATAGAGCTGTTATTTATGTTAATATTATAAATTATGTAACTCAATTTCTGAAATTACTGGCGACAACTTATTTATTATTATTAATCAGCCGTCTTGAGGCGTCTAATATTTGTTATATAGCGTATAGAATTATAGCTGTGTTTAATGCTTAATTAATGTCAAGTGATTCAGCAGTCTCATACGTTTAAGACAAAAAATGTGCATACACCGCATAAATCTCACGGAACACGATTAAAATAAACAGCGGTGTTAAAAGTATTTTCATACTCAGTTTGGTACATTATTATTTTTTTGAAAACTATACAAAAAAAGGATTTAGTAAGGTGGAAATGTTTACGAAATGTGATCCATTTTTACAGATCAAATCAAGGATCGAGTTTAGGCATTTCTCTAAGACGCGGAAAAAATATAAATCGAACAGAGCATAGAATGGCAATCAAGCCTCTACTTCAATTTCATCCACTACGAAGAGGCCTTCGATGGTGTTGAACGTGAAGTAGTTTGGAAACTACTTCAACACTATGGTGTATCCCAAATCTTTATCAGCCTCATACAACAGCTATATTGTGATGCCACATGTCAAGTGATCCACACCGGAAAGGGACCAAGACAGTAGGAAATCTGGACTTCGCGGACGACTTATGTCTAATGTTACATAAATTCGAAGATATACAGGTGAAATTTAAAATGTTACAAGAAGAAGGAGCAAATACGGGACTTCAAGTGAACATAAAGAAAACAGAGGTGATGACACAACAAACCCAATCACTACCAATGGGAGAAGTCTGAAAGTGGTTACTTCCTTCACTTTTACCTAAGAAGTATATTTTCAACTACAGGCGGATGAACGGATGAAGATGTCAAAGCCAGTAAGGATTGGAAAGGCAAGACGGAAAATCAATAATACAAAAATGAATATGGAAATCTGCTGCACTCAGCATAAACAACAAGATTCGGATTTTTGACACCAATGTTAATTTAGTCAACTCTTCTATATGAGTGAGAAACTCGCGCTGCACATCACCAGAGGCAATTCAAACGCCTTGCGGCAGAATTTCATCAACAGCTACCACCTTCACTAGCTCCATACTGAAGATCAGATGGCCAGCTGACCAGAAAGAATTAGCAGCAAGAAACTCTGGTGAGCAACGAACCATTCAAGAATCTATTACTCAACAAATATATTGAAAAAATTGGGATAGAAGTAAAGGACACACTATGAGGAGACCGTTGAAGGACTCTGCGCATGAAGACAGCCCTTGAGTGGGACTGGAAGGGGAAACGACGAGCTGGGTGCGGTTCCAAGGGTGGCTAGTGTGAGCTTAGCTTATGAGGATCACAGAAAACAGGACAAAGTGTAGACATGCTGTTGAAGCCCTATGTTCCACTTGGAACCTAAGGGAATAATAACAGAATAATAATAATAAATATCTAAAATACTAAGTAATGAGTATAATAGAACTGAGATCTCGAGCTGCACTCTTTCACTTCGTCATTAAAACAAATAAACATTCACTTACTTCTGTTGTACATGTTTATTAATCGCTATCGGCTGAACATTGATCAGTTTTATTCCTTCATTGTTGTTTGTGGTGACAGCAGTATTAGTAGTCGTAGTCGTAGTAGTAGTAGTTGTAGCAGTAGTAGCATCTGATTTCTTTTCACCATTCTGTGCAATATTTTCACAATCGTCAGTATTATTCAACGGAGAATCATTTTCTGTTGGAGAGACAAAAATAATTAAAATGATTAGAAAAGGAGGAAAAATTACCATCAAGAACTACTGGCGGCAGACTGCTGTTCTTCGAATTGTCTTCTTCCATCATTATTATTGTTATTATTATTATTATTATTATTACAGCTTGTATATATGTGTGTACATTTACAGATTACTTATATGTTTTTTTAGGGTGGAATTTGAAAAGCACTAGATGAGCATGCCTAATGTTTTATGGCGTCAGTTGTTGTAAAAGCAGTTAGCTGCGTTATAAGCTGTTATTAGTAGGAGAATAATATTGAAGCATAATACCAAGTAACATGTACACTACCTAACAGTGATTTCAGTAGTATATAATGATGCACGTATAGTTTTGTGATTTCTTGGATTCTTATATACATCTAATAAATGTAAATATATATATTATTGTATAGGATAGTAATCCTTTTGTTTTAAATGTTATTGTTAATTGTATTATATCTTCTTTATTTATTATAACTGTCAACGTGATCTTGAGATCTTAAATTTTAAATTAGTTCCATACACAACACAGCTCTTTCTCACTATTTGTAGATGTGTGTATATTTTTGAAGAAAATCAAATAGTTCACATTTCAGTCTTGTTTATTTCTCAATGATGCTTTCTCATTGTAAAAGTATTTTGAACACTAATAAGAGGTAATGAAAGGTATAATGTACATATGTATCTATATATGTATATATGCCCACTTTAAATACCCATTATATGCAGTGGGGACTATTCATCAAGATGGAAATCTCTTCCACTTCACATCTATCTTCTCTCTCTTTCTCCCTGTTCTATACATCAATACGATTTCCTTTTCTGTTTGCTTTCTACAATCTTTCTCCTTAAGAGGTATGGGCGGGGATAGGATAGGATGGGATAGGACAGGATAGGATAGGATAGCATATGATAAATGATTTCCCTTTCTCCTCATCTAACCCATACGAACTCACACACGCACACCTATTAAGGCAATATATACATATATATGGGCCTAATGACCAATAATATTTTGATTGCATATATGTATACATATATACTGGGATAAATGACAGACAGGTTGTCATGACAGCGTAGTAATAATGTATATAAATGTTTCCTTGGGAAAATGTGTACATACAGGCATGAACACACTGTTATAAGACTTCTCTTTCTTAAGTAAACACTGCGTTGTGTCACACACACACTCACACACTGTATTACTTACAGGATGTGAGTATTACTAAGGTGAAACAAAAAGGAGATTTGGGACGTAAGAGATTAAGCATAGACAGCTAATGTTAAGATATTTTAAGTATAAAGTGATAATAGATTAATTAATGCTATTAATTACATATATATACATATGTATAAACTTATAGACAGTCAAAATGGTTGATGCTTTTAATAACATTTGTATACACAACAAAAGTTGAATGTTTTCAAAAGTTATTTTTGTAAGAATTTGATTTGTTTCCAGTTTGATAACTAGCTGATATCGGTTAGAGTACCATTGGTGAGTCAGCGTGTACTGAACAGCTGTTCCCCCTAGTTTAAGACTCTTTGGAATTACGCATCCACTGTGGCTGAAACTTGGGACCTTCAGAACGCAAGGCAAGCTCGTAGACCATTTAGGCACTGGGACCCTACCAGGTAGCCTATGAATTCCAGCTTCTACTAGTTCGGGATATTAGCGCGACCATCGGTCCTATAAACTAACTTTTGAAAACTAATCTGATGCGCGTTAGTAACTGGCCACGGGATGAAGCTGCTAGGAGTTCTAGTGAGAAGGTAGGAGTGTGATGACGAACGCTCGCCGATGACAGTGGCTGGTGGTCGTGCAAACATCACGAATTGGTAGAAGTTGGAATTGGTGGGCAATAGGATCGTGTCCTAATGAATAAATGGTCTATGACTTTGCCTTGTAACCGAAAGGTTCTGTGTTCGAATTTCTGTAGGTGTGTACCGTTGATGAGTCGCAAACTGGAACGAAACAGCTGTCCAGTGCCTCCTAGTTTTCAGTGATTCTCTAACTGATATGAATTCATGATCAAACTTATATGGATCTATCGGGCCCTTAAGCCGGCAAAGTTAATCTCTGAGTAAGTTGGTTGGTTTCAATGCCGCCAATAGTTGACTTTTGGAACATCCCTACATATGATTTATCTAAATGTCTAGAATCCATAATACTTCCGATTAGAGATCATTCAGATTCGAGGCTAACTAATTCATAGATAATGAAATGAAAGCTTGACGAAATTCAAATAGAAAATTATTAACAAATGGTTGGTTTCGATGTAACGAGTTTATACCAATTAACGCAGCTCTGAAGGCAGTTGGGACTGAACTGGACAATGATCCTGAACTTTTAAATAGGAAAAAACTTACAGTTGATGAAATAACATTATATGTAGAATATTACCCACACTTTACTGTATTCAAATTTGATATATATATATATGGGGTGACACTGGGAGCACCAATAATCCCAAAGGTTGCAGAGATATTTGTGTATAGCTGGTCCCACTTTATAGTGGAGATTTATGGGTAACACATTCACTGTATTGAAATCTGAACATATCTCTCGGTTCTTCTTCACACATATAAACTCAGTGGTGAGTGGAAAACAGTTTGATTTGAGTTAGGAAATGAGCAGGGTCAGTCAGATATGCTAGACTGGAAAATCAAACGAAAACAGGATGATGGGTAAGCTATTAACTTCTACAAAATAACTGACACATCCTGGCAAATACTTGGATTTTAACTCATGGCACCCGGAATTGGTAAAGGTAGGTTAAGCGTTTTTATACAATCCAGCCAGGAACCTAACTAGTAAGTCAGGTTTAAATAATGGAATTCAACTAACAAGGAAAACATTACTATTGAATAACTACCCACCACAATTTATTCAAAAATGCATGAAGACCCATAAGGAAAATAAGAGAAGTAATAAAAATGATGGAAATAATACAAATAATAGGGAATTTAAAGCAACCTTATTACTGCCATATAAAGAAGGAACATCAGTGGCTCCATATAGGAATCTTAGTGAGACTGCCAATAGGCCGACATTTAAACCAACTAGATCCCTCAGAAACAAACTTTGTCCACTACAGGACCTGACAGATGCAATTAAAAACAGAATAATATAATTTGCTAAATAACATGCAATGACTGTGAGGTCAATTACATAGGTCATACCAGTAGATCATGGTTAATTCGATTATCGGAAAATATGAATGTGGCTAGATATAGAATGATTTACCCTGCTACATTAAATAACCTAGAAAAAACTCAAGCATTGGAATTCATTCAATTGCATTTCATCACCAAATAAGTTTCGACAAAGTGAGAGTATTAAAAAGTGACAATAACACATAATATGTATAATAATAACACTCCGAAGATCATGATTGTCAATTTTCACAGTGAGCACATTTTCATTCAGTCAATAGAGTGAAGACCAAAGCGCCTAGTTTTCATACTATTTCTCAGTCGGTAATCATCAATCCGAGTGATCAGTGAGCAGTTAACCTCATCGATAATAGAGAAGATTTGTAGCTCAGGTGGATGATTTGCAATTAGTTGTGTTCTCTGAGTCTGTTGGTTTAATAGCAGGGCTTTCGTCGTTCTTCTGGACAACATCTTCAGCACAAGTTTTAGCGTATTCTATCTCTACCGTTGTTTCGGTTAACCAATTTTGTTGTGCGGTGCTTATTTTGTACGTAAAAAATTCTCGGACTGTATAGTTACCTAACGGCACTGTTGAGCTACCTATTGCGTTTTTGATATGTTATAATTATTTAAAAGTACAAGGGTTTTTATTGCCTGTAACTGTCTTTTTCTTACTGTTGAAACATTTTGGGACTGTTAACCACCAACGGAAGTTTGGTCAGCTACAGACTGATAGTTGACCCCCAACACATTGACCGTCAAAACATTCACGTCTATATTATATCCTCCATGCAATCAAACAAAATCCCTACAAAACCAATACTTGAAAATTAATCTGATGCTCAATAGTGACTGGCCCTATTCAGGCAGTTAAACTGGGGTTCTAGTGGGAAGCCGTGACCAGTAGGGTACAGCAGGTTGAAGATGAGGCAGTAACTCATCGAAGATATTGCGAAATGGTCGCGCTATGTCGTGAATTGGCTAAAGTTAGAATTCAAGGACCATTGGATTGGAACCCAGTGGCTCAATGGTCTACGAGCTAGTTCGCCTTGTAACCAGAAGGTCCTGGGTTCGAACCCCGATGGGTGCGTACTGCTGAAGACTTCCAAACTAGGACGAAACAGCTGTCCAGTACTCCCAGGATTTCCAGTGGTTTTTTAACTGATGTCAGCTCATGATGAAATCCTCCATAAATTATATCCTTTCAGAAGTTGCTCAAGGTATAGTCTGACTGATCCTTATGAAATCCGATAGAAACTTTAGGATATTCGAACAGAAAAAGACGAAAATACGAGCCGTTTTGATAAAAAAACTTTTATTCACTAATATTACAACAAATGCAGTCCCAGATACAGTTAAGATTGAGTTAAACGTTGATTTTGAAGTCACATACGGAGTGATGAAGTTAACGGTTGTTGAAATAATTCTTGGAAATTCAGTTATTTTCGACTTCTACAGTCTTCAAATTTCAGGGATGAAATATACAAACAGACAAATGGGGTAGCATTGGAATCACCAAAATCCCCAACGGTAGTAGATGCATTTATGGATAGTTGGGAATGTGAGGTTCTTAAGACGTTTGTGACGATAAGTAGACTACACATTACAGTATTGAGATCTGAACACGTGTCTAATTCTTCTACGCATATAAATTCAGTAGATGATGGAATCCAGTTCACCTTCGAAATAGAAAAGCAACAGGTCCAATTGACGATGTTGGATTTTAAAATTAGTCGATGACTAGATGGAAGTTTAGGTATCAGCACTGATAGTTCTCCACAGTGATCAACCAACATGAAACGTTTAATACACAAACTTTCATAGTTGAGCCCTTTTCAAGAATAAAAAGAAACATGTTCCCCTCCTTATCTTCACGAATAAGGATATGCAACAGTGGTTCAGTCGATGATAAACTGGACAAAATCAATC